AGAGGAGGAAAAGGAAACCCGGGAGGGGAGAGCCCAAGGTCACAGGAAGGCTCGGCCGCAGCCACTTCGCTCTCAGAGCTTTATCAGCTCTGGCTTTCCTCTCTGCTTGCAACAGCCCCTGCTGCTCAGCTCCTTTTATGAGAGCATTATAAAGTCATCACAGAAGTTTCCACTAAGAGCCCTACCTTTCCTGTAGCGAGCGGCTTGATTTGAAAACGTGCAATTTTAAGAGGTCAAACCAGTGAAGAAACGGTGATCACACAGAAAAAGAGGAGCAAGACGTGCGCACAGAGTAACGTCCTGCTGCAACACGGGGTACCACCAGGTACCACCAGGTATTGGGTTCACACCCTTGGCAAAGGAGTTTAAACTGGTTTTGAAGCGAAATAAATCAAAATCCCAACCAGGGGCAGCCTCATTCCACAGGGAAACTGGAGTTACTGGGGTGCTGGGTGTGCATTACCTCCACTGCTGACTCTACTGGACCCGAAACCAAACCTGAGGCTTCCTCCCCCGTGGCCACCTTACCCATAGTCAGGTCTGCAGCACCACTGCAGCTCTAGCATTAAGAAATTAAGTATGTGATTAGTGATCAGGCTGATTGGCAGCAAACCATAACTACAGGAAACCTGGAGGGGCTCTGGAGAGGCAGCTCTTGAAATAGCCCGCTAATGAAGTACCCTGCCAATTAAAGCAGCCACAATTAGAAGCTGAAATCACCTCCCAGCTGGGGGCGGGCTCGCTGCCACCTCCATCTGATCCAGGGCCAGACCGAATTACTGCGAGAACGGGGAGCGAGGACGCCCAACGTCAGCGTTGTCACCGGTCCCCAACCCTCGCTGCACGAGCGACGGCCGCAAGAGTGGCACGAAGGGGGAAGCCTCAACCAAGGCGGCACTCGATCGCCCTTCCGAAAGCGCTGGTTTAAAGAAGCAATTCAGCCACCTGCAACACAACAAGTCTTCATTTTTATTGAGTTAGTAAGGTCTCAGCTGATTCCGATTCAAGTGAGCTATAGGAAACCCTCCTTTCTCATAGCGAGAGCAGGCCTGCCCCTGGGCAAGGGCTGAACGCATCCGAAAAATCACATTGACAGTGTACAAGAAGCGTCACTCTAGATTTCTCCTAGCACCCAGGACTTGCAGCACAAACCTTCGTCATCTCAACCCATCCATCGACTTCCTCAAAAATCTAAATCAAGCGACAGTTTCTTCCAGTGGGATATAAACACTGCGCGGAGTCTCGACAAAGCAACACGGCCGGAATATAAGCAATACAGGTTTAATTCTGACCGGTCACCTACAAACCCCTCGGCTTTCCACTGTTCTGGTGGCATCATTAAAGATCACATCTGTGACATCGCTCGGGGAAAAATGACACAAGGATACAGACAGTATGATACAATAGTACAAATGAGAAATTATTGATACAGTAAATAATGGCAATAGTCAGCACAAATTCATAAAAAGCAGCCGGCTCCCGGGATTATGAAAACAGTTTGGTAAATATTTAAATCGTAACACTCGTAAAGGAAGCGAGTCTGGTGAGATTCTGCTGTGAAAGAAATAAACCATCCATTTCTCCACAATTTGTGCAATATGAATACATACAGTACACGTTAGAAACCGTAACAGCAAAAGGGAAGATGGGTAACAAGAGTTGTCTTAGCTACGGGACTTCAAAAAAAGACTGTAAACACCACAACCCACCACGGTTTTCCTTCCCTGTCCCCTCAGTGTAGTTTAGTTTCTATAGAGTATAAAACTGAATAAATTACTGAGCTTATTTCGGGTTTAAAATTACACCAAGAAGTTGGGTTTTTTTGGTTGTTTTTTTAGGTTTTTTTTTAAGTTTTCTTTTTTACAAAATATTTAACGCTTTGAATCTTTGGTCAATTTGACCAGTAAGGCTATTTTGGGATGCTAACGGTTTTTTAAAAAAAAAGAAAAAAAATCAAATCAAAAGCACTTTTGAATATTTGCAAGTGAGAAAAAGAAAGGGAGGAGGGAAACGCGTTCGGAGAAACGCCGCCAGAGCAGATGCGACGGGATACGCGCGCGTCCGCCATGCAAAGAGAAGCGGGAGGGCGAGGAGGGAGGAAGGATTATTCCGGAGAGCAGTTAAAAAGAGATTTACCAGCCTGGACACAAGGGAAGCTTCCCCTGGCTAGGACAGAAACCACCGTTCACCAGCCCAGGAACCAAGATTTACCAAACCCGCTGCTTTTTCTCTTAAATTCGGCTCCTGCCACAGCCCCCCCTCGTCAGGCTGGGATCTGGGTGTATTTAGTCCTTGGCCTAACGCTTTACAGAGCCACAGTCCGGGCTCTTCAGAGCACCTCGGCGTGGTTTGTTGTGCGATACACGTCTACTCTCTCTCTACAACGTCAAAGCAACACAGCTCTCACAGAGGTGGCTTTGGTAAAAGCGACCATTGGCCATTCAGCAGTTTCATTGAGCTGGGGCTCCCTGCCACACCACCGGCAGGTTTTTAGTGGACTGACAGTGACAGATCGTGACTGGGAGCCGTGGATGACTTTGGCATTTTTCATACTTGCTATCAACCCCATCTTGCCTCCAGAAGCGGTTACCTGGTGTTCAACCAGAGGATGCGGGCAGAGCTTTTTGGCTGAGCAATGTCCCGTCTCACTGCAGCAAACGCATTCAGGTGACAGACTAAGGGAACAAAACCAACCAACCCATCGGGTGACCTCAATTCCACTGCTGAAAATCTTCAACCGGAAAAATAAGGAAGGCTGAATCTTGCCATGGATCAATTGGAAAGCACTTCCCCCCCAACCCCCTCCGCAATCACACCCTTCCTGGTCTACGCTTTTCAGTCAGCTCAACAACAGCTAAAGGAGTCTTCTTCCTTACTCTGAAAGGCAACGGGAATGGTGTTTTGTTGTGTTTTGCAAGACGTACTGGGTGTGGACAGCAACTCTCTTTCCTCCTATCTAAAAACGACAGCAGATGAAGATTCCGAATCCCGCTTGCGAACGTAACCAAGAGGACACAGCGACCTGCACAGACACATCCACACGTTTAGCACTGCGGACGCTAACGGAGCTACGCCGACCTACACAGCTAAAACCTGTGATCGTACCCTAGACGTGAGAGTCCCTCAGCCTCCCAAAAGACACAACCCAGTCCCTTCCACATCAGCCAGCACAGCCCCACACAGCCCCAGCACACCAGCACACGCAACTCCGGCCATTTCTTTCAGTTCTTTGTTTCGGTTTGGGTATTTTTCCCCCCCCCGCTTCTTTCTAATTAGGGAAAGGCCACCAAGATGCATGGGTTCATCGAGACGCCCTCAAGGCAGGGGCAAGCACTGGGCCGTCCCTTTCCGCCTGCGTTGCCCAGGCCCCATTTCCAGCGGAAACGCCGCCCGAAACCCGAGCGTGGTTTTAGTGCCGCCGAGTCCAGCCATGCGAGTTAGGAACGCGTGGGTTCAGCTGACGGTTAACAGCCGGCAATGGAAGCGGTTCACTCGCACCTTTCGCCGCGGGAAAAATTCAGTCAATAAAAAGGAACGAGTCGCGTTTGTACATGGGAACTTTGAACGTCTCGAGAAGGATTACGAGGAGAAGGAGCCTCTCTTCTGGTCTTCCCAAAGGCTGTCTGTCCGTTTTGGGAATCGGAAACCGGGAACAAATCAAGGGAAAGGCGACTTTAGTGTTTTTTCTTTTTAATGTAGTCTTAAATCACGTTATGCTCAAATTCAATTCATCTAAAAATAATTAGTCACGAGGATCTGTTTTGATTTGCATTACGAATACTTCATTTAAAAGTAAATATTTTAGTGTTAATCTTCCCTTTTAAACTCTCTTTACAGAAACAAAGAGCTAAAACCATAAATAAGAGGGCATTAAAACCATAAAAATGACATTTGCCAATATCTTAATTTTTTCAGCCAGACTTGATAAATCTATCAAAACCAGACAGTTAAATAAGAACCACATTATAAAAATTAGCAAAAAAAGGACTATTAGGTAACTCTGCAAACTCAAATATGAAACTGTACTAAACAAAATATGTGCAAAAGTATACAAGAGTAACTGCATATAGCAAGGTTAAGCCTGAATTAGTTTTAAAGCTTGCCCCGGTGAAACTGAATTCAAAGTTGTCCCGCTGTACGTCTTGGTTTTGTTTTGTTTCCCCGTTCAACTCACATTGTAAGTCAAATAAAAACAAAAAAAATGCACATGAAAACTTCCGAACGAAGCTGGTACTGGACAAGCACAGAGCAGGACACTCACTCAGCACGAGTGCAGCATGCCACTCACAGAGAGTTCCTCGGGAGTCCTCAGAGTAGTGTACAAATTCAACACTGCGCACGACAGCACACGGTTTACTCGACACCTTGAGCGTGTTCTCGGGGGTTTGGTTTTGTTTTTGTCTAGTTTTTAGATCCTTTTGAGACAAGCTTGCTTTCTCGGTCAAACCTCAGATAGGAAAAGCAGTGCGATTTTGCCTTGCAATGTTTAATGCATAAAAACCAGCCACCTGGGCCCTCCGAATCGTTCTCTTCTAAGAGTAAGGACTATGGGTGAACCAACAGTCTAGAACTGTGTATAGTTATGTGCAAAACATTCACTAGCACTCTGAATCTCAGGTCTATCGTATGGGCATTGAAGTGACAGATGCAGGTAAAGAGTAATTTCAGGATCCAGCACATCATCTGACATCTACAAAATAGCCAACGGAGTTTCAAATGGCAGGTATCTCCCTAGAAAGTGTATTGAAATGATTAACAAAGTAACAAAATGGGCAGAATCTAACTTTGGTGAAAAGTCTGAACATTTCACGTAATGCTCAACAAGCCAAAGTAAGGTACCATCTGTAGCAAAGACTAGATTTAGATTAACTGGTAAGTAGAGACAACTCTTCAAAGATCATAACTGTAAACTGCAAATCTACTTCCAAGTCTCTTACACACCGTTCAGTCCACACAGGCCACGTTCGTTTCGCTGTAAAGACTTCAGCCTGGAAACACTATGAAAAGAAAGTTCCTTTAATCGGGTCTTTATAGGAGAAAAGGGTTAGTTGTATTTGTAGGCTGGGACGCTGACGGCGGGATTCCTGTACTGTGAAGAGGTTGGGTCATTGATCCTGCAATGCTCACGTTCAGCCCCTGGCCCATCCTCGTGATGGATGCCACGGTGCCCATAGCTGGTATCGGTGCCATCCCCACGGGCACGGGGGCCATGGAAGACAGAGGTATTGGCTCCATGCTCATCGGTGGCACGGTGCTGAAGGAGGGGCTGGTTCCCATCACCGGGCTCGCTCTCATCTGATTTAGAGTGAGGGGCTGAGGCTGATTCACTTGGAAAGGGTTGATTGGAGTTGGTGCTGTAGCGGCGCCTGGTTTTGAGAGAAGGGGGAAGAGGGAGAGAGATCGCACCACCATAAACAGCAGGTTTTGGAGATGGTCTTGTCTGGCAAAGAACGCGCCCTTCTGTACATCCCCACGCGCTCCCGACCCCAAAACACCCTGCAGAGACCCCTGTGCGGATGCCACCCAGCAAACTGGGGCCGCACTGGTGCACAAGCAGAGTGTTCCCCTGAACCTATCGATGGCACCAAGCATCCTTTTGCTGACCAGCAGTTTCCACTGCTAAATCTGGTGACCTGGATCATGCTTAACCATGACAGCCAGATCATGGCTTCTATTTCTTTCTAAAACACTACTTTAAATTTGCATTACACAAGAGAACCGCAGGCTCTCCGCAGTCCTTTACTGCAATCTGGCTACTGCAGATCGCTGCATTTGCTTCGAGAGCTCATCCAGTCAACTCCATTTAGAAGCTGTACTTGTTTCTGGCACCGAGTTTGGACAAGAATTCGGAAAGTAAACAAGTTGTTTCCGAATTACAGCGGTGCTAGAAAAAACAGAGAAGAACTTTCCCAGCGTTTGAGGCTCTCTGGACTGCGGCCAACGCTACAAATTCCTTTTACCGTACATGTATGGTGTTATTTGGATGGCCCAGTGACCCCTTGTGACCTTGTTGTAGTAACCGGTGATGGCAGATACACAGATTTCCTCTTGCTAAACACTGCCAAGGCTGTTCAGAATTACTGGGTTTTTCCCTATGCAAGGAGTTCAATAAACTGCCGTGTTTTTCATTGGAAGAGTGAAGGAAACAAATACTGGAATAACATGTTGAAGTATTTCGCCATATTAGCATCACACAAATTTCAGTGCATATGAACAGCCTTTAAAAAACACATCCATCTTCCACACATTTAGTGGCACCACCTAAGCCTGCTGTTTGTAAAGGCTCGCTTCTAACAGGGGCCAGTTTACAGCAGAACTACAGCAGCCTCCATTTTTTTTTAATTTAAAATACACTAAGAGTGTGTTTTGATCAAAATTTAGGCTATCAGGCTAGCCTAAAGACAGCCTAATCAGCAACCCACTAAATTATGCTGCATTTTGGTATCTGGAACCTCAGGTTGCAGTCAGAGATGCCCAAGCTTTGCTGTTCCTACCTGCTTCTACAACAACCTACTCCCTATAACCTTCCTGAGGGATCCTTTGGTGACACATGTTCACATCTTACCTGTCCCGACCATCAGCTTTAGCCATTTCCAATAACCCAAAGCCACCTTCTAACGCAGATCATTTTGAGAGAGCTAGGGTAAGAGTGGACAAAACCTGCTTTTTCAGGGTCTGGCAGTACACCTTGAAACCACGATGCCTCACCCTCCTGCTCTCAGTCGTGATGTGTTGGCTAAAGTAACCAAGAAAAACGAGCCCCAACCAGCTTACGTTAAATCCAACAGGACTGAGTTACGCAGAGTTTTCTACAGGAAGGGAAAACTAAAACAGAAAACTGAAGGAACGTGCAGAAACAGACCTGGCGCCAAGAATGGATTCAGGGAAGTAACAGGTTGCGGCGGCTTAGACACCAGTGAATCCAGGTTCACCAAAGCAGCATTGGGGCCCAAGAAAGACTCGGGGGTTTTCCGAGCTGCGCTTTGTTTGCCTGATGTCACGCTCGAGTGCTGGGAATCAAAGAGATCGGGACTTGTGGTACCGCTATGCTGAGATGGCAAAGTGGAACCTGATTCAGCTGAAACAACACAGAGAAAAACAAAAAACTTATCTCATTAATCTACAGAGCCAAGCAAAGGAAACCTTGAAGTCTCTGACAGCAGAAACGTTTTAAGATCTGTTTGTATTAGTCAGATTTAAGTGTTACACCCTTACAGCATGCAAGCAGATAAATGCTCTCTAGAAGAGTACGAAGCAGCCGTGGTTAGAGTTGCAGTGCTCTGCGGAAGGCGCTACCTGACTGCCCTGATGAATTCTCACATCCGTTGCTGCTACAGATGGGACTACATCTCCAAGGAGAAAATATTCCAAAGCCTTGGTTGCTGCCCTTGTACTACACCACTGCTGCACCCTTCCTCGCCAGACTCCACCCCGGTCTTCTCTTTTGTGTTTAAGCAGCCTAACCCAGCTTTGACTCAGTCACCGCTCTTTCAGGCAGAGCCATCCTGAAAGTACACGGTATCAAAGCACTTCTCCATTAAGGTCTGGTTTTTATTTTAGTGACTAACGACCAAACAAAAAAAAAATAAACTAAAGCATTTGTAGAAGTGTGTTTTCTCATCTTCCTGCTATTGTTACACACTAGAATTTACGTATTTGAGAAACTCGCTCAACGTTGTCCTGTTTGACTCTCTGAGCACGAGCCATACTCCACGCACATTGGAAAACGTACATCTAGAAGTCAAGCAAACTTCTGGGTGAATGCAGCGAAAGGTGACAGTGAAATTCTATGGCTTGCAGTGCAAAAGGCCCATTCCCCGTAAGTTCATGCACAGGCCAAAATGTTAACAACAAGTTTCTAGTGCTGCATTATCACGAGCTTTAATCTTTTCCTTTGTGACAGCAGTTTGTTTGTTTTTCAATGAAATTTAAGAATAGAGGTATTTGTTGCTGTGACTATCATCCAAACTGTCCAAGTGCTAAGAATTTGATTCATACCTGGCTTTTTGGAAGTTCGAAGTGTGTCAAATTCAGAAAAATCATCTTTAACTGTACCATTCAAATTACTGAAGAGGTCAAAAGATGTACTTCCTGTTCAAAACAACAAGACAACCCTGTCATTAACAGATCTCCAGTTGCATCGCACACCTGATCCTCCTGAGCTCTCCTTTCTTACAGAATGAGCCAACCAATTCAGAGCAATGAGCTTTTAAATCACCATGTAAGGCACACCTTAGCATGCTGGGTTTTATTGAGTGTCTGCACTAGGGAGGTATAGGCAGGCATATATCGCTGTGGAAGAAGAGAACAGCAATGAATTTAGAGCCTAAACTCTAAAGTGTGTTAATCAGCCCTCAAATAAAACACATTTCTGAATATAGATCAATTGCTGTAACTTAAGTGATGATCTGACTGACGCCTCTGAAGTTAAAAGCAGGAGGAATGCAACAGGAAAGGTTAACTACGCCATGTAGAGATGGTAAGGCCCTGTTAGCTAAAGCACCAGAGCTTGCCCAGAGTTTGCAACCAATGAAAACATCACATTTTCAAAGTGTGGATACACCCTTACCTCAAAAATGGAGGAAGAAAAACCACACCTAAGCGAACAGCAATCACACTCCTGAAAAGCTCTGAAGTTTGCTTTCGTTTGGTTTTTTTTCTAATCACTTGAAATGTTTTTCTAATTTAGTTTGAACACATTTCATGCAAATGAAGGTACAGAGTTAGCTCCATAAAAACAAAGGTATGGGTTTAGAGCACAAAAACCAAAGAGAATGAGCGAAGATATTTCTTATCACAAAGAGCCACCATAGTTAAGGAATCATTCCCATAATGATCCAGTTATTGCCCTTTGCCCGGTGAAAAGCTGATTAGACAACTTTTTGCAGTACTCAGATTCCTTTGTTTTCTATGTACTGAGATAAAGCAGCGCAGGAAATGCATTTAGGATGCATTTAACCACGGTGCCAACGTGAAAATGCCAGGTATTAAGATTCAGGAAGGTTGCATTAGTTACAGAGCATGAATAGACAATTACATCAGCACCTCCTGCATCTTGCGGCACAAGGGCTCAGGGACAGCTTTCACACCCTCTGTCTGAAGTAACAAACCTTCATTTGCACCTCTAAAGGTCTCCTCAGAGCCTGGAGCTGCTCAACCTGTCAATCTGCATCTGCAGAGCCATCCATCTGCAGAGCTATTTATCATGATGAAAAGATTACAGTATCATTCATTTCCAGAAATTAAGCCCTTGTCTAATTAAAGATAAAACCCAACAGCAGCAGCAGTCGCAAGTGCTCAGCACGCATCCACACATACCAATAAAATAACAAGAGACAGAATACGAAGCAGCAACAGGAATTCAGAGCTCCGAGTCAGAATAATTACATCTGAAGCTCTTTTCGCTGCTAGCTATTACAACTCCCATGTATTTTACGGACCAGCTCTGCGAATTGTTCAGCACCTAGCTTCTTTTAGCCAAGCAATGCAAGAAAATCACTGGGATTTCACCTTCGTTACTCAAAGAATAGGGCTATGGGATGAGACCGTTTCTCACCAGAAGTAGAGAGAGGTTTGTTGGCCGGTGCTGGCCCCCAAGGATCCACAGAAGATTTTGCTGCAGTAGAAGACGGCTGAGCAGGAGCCCAAGGGTCAACATTTTTGGACATAGGCTGAGCTGTGGATCCTGCCGGTGCTGCCCAAGGGTCGACGGAAGCAGCTGGTTTGGCACCTGTGAAAAGAGGCAGCAGGAACACAAGTCAATGCAGCTTCACTTTGGAAAGCTTTCCTTGGAGATTAATCTCTCTGACAAGCCATTACTGCCAATTAACACTAAACATAAATAGGTGAAGCAGTTCAACAACAGGAACACTGATAAGTCTCGGCATCTGTGTCATACTGAACAACAAGCACAAGCTAATCCTTAAAATTCTTTAAGGAAATCCCTACAGTTTCATCAAGAAAATAAACTTGCTTTTGTTACACACACTGCCAACACAGACCACATCTGACCAAAGGTGACCTAAATCACAGGGTGTATTCATGAACTCATGGGAAAGCAGCTTTCTAAAAAGCCTGCATGTAAAAGGTATGAACTACACCAAAACAGGACTTGGACAAAGAAATCTGTAAGATTCAAAGGGAATAATTTTCAAACTCTTTTACCCATGATGTTATTTTATAAAAATACAATCAGCTTCCCTGAGCCAGTTGTGCTTTTTCTGTTCCCATTTGTAAGCACTCCCCCCGACACAGATCTGAGCCGACCACTGATGTCCCTATGTTGTTCTTTTAGATACCAGTTACCTTCCAGTCAGACAGTACAAGCAGACACACTTCTTTTTCCCAATTAAACTTCCCAACCAGTCACGGTTTCATCACTGACCATCTGTATAACCCACAAGCAGGACAGCATTACCCGTGTGGCACAGGGCTGTTACCTTCTACGACCGTGTGGGTTTCAAGTGACAACCGAATACTGTTTTATTTTTCAAAAACACACACAGACCCCCTTGGCATCACATTATTCTTGAAAACCACCTCCGTGTTACACACAGCAATTTGCAACGTTGGCCTTTGTTTCATCACATGAGCCAGCACTGTGCCCACGTGGCCAGGAAAGCCAATGGCATCTTGGCCTGTACTAAAAACAGTGTGACCAGCAGGGCCAGGGAGGTGATCATCCCCCTGGACTCGGCACTGGTGAGGCCGCACCTCGAGTGCTGTGTTCAGTTCTGGGCCCCTCACTAGAAGAAGGATGTGGAGATTCTGGAGCGTGTTCAGAGAAGAGCCACAAGGATGGGGAGGGCTCTGGAGAACAAGCCTGATGAGGAGCGGCTGAGGGAACTGGGCTTGTTTAGCCTGGAGAAGAGAAGGCTGAGGGGAGACCTCATCACCACCTACAACTGCCTCAAGGGAGGTTGTGGAGAGGTGGGTGCTGGGCTCTTCTCCCAGCTGATGGGGATAGAACAAGGGGAAACGGCACCAAGCTGTGCCAAGGGAGGTTCAGGTTAGAGAGAAGGAGGAAGTTCTTTACTGAGAGGGTCGTCAGAAGCTGGAACAGGCTGCCCAGGGAGGTGGTGGAGTCACCATCCCTGGATGTGTTTAAAGAGCGGGTAGACGAGGTACTTAAGGATATGGTTTAGGGGGTAGACAGGAGCGGTTGGACGTGATGATCTCAGAGGGCTTTTCCAACCGAGCGATTCTGTGATTCTGTGTGATCGGCAGGCGGTACAGGCCTGCTGCAGCTTCAACCAGGAAATACTAAAATTCTCCCATTTCAGTCCAACTATTCCCACACCGGCACTTCCATTTCCTTTATCTGCCCTTAGCACTGAGTTATGAGCAGTGCCACGGAAGAAATGCTAATGACAGCACTTCCCATAAACGGAAGCTTTCAAAAACAAAAAAAAGGTCTTTTCTTTCATAAAGAGCGCGCACCAAATTAGAGCGCTTGGGAAGGTACCTTCCCGTAGCTTCCATTAGCTCTGCTCAAGTGCCAAAGTACATGCAGGGTTTGAGAGATACAGTTTAATGAGTCACTCTTTTATTAGCAGTTAAATTCATAAATCTTGTAAGACAATCCTTGGGAGCCAAGTAACCTGCAAACTGGGACGAAAGGAGGTGTTTATGGCGTTTATTATAAAGCTGGGAGCCGCTGGGAGGAAATGCTACAGCTGCAACTGATGCAAGGGAAATCTTGTCAGAAGGTGACATATTGAGCATGAGATTTGAAGAAGGTGGATTTCATTTGGGTTTTAACCACAGAAAAATCCACTGAGCAGCCTCAGGGCCCAAAACCTGGACATCATCACCACCTACAACTGCCTCAAGGGAGCTTGGAGAGAGGTGGGTGCTGGGCTCTTCTCCCAGGTGATGGGGGATAGAACAAGGGGAAACGGCACCAAGCTGTGCCAAGGGAGGTTCAGGTTAGAGAGAAGGAGGAAGGGCTTTACTGAGAGGGTCATCAGAAGCTGGCACAGGCTGCCCAGGGAGGTGGTGGAGTCACCATCCCTGGATGTGTTTAAAGAGCGGGTAGACGAGGTACTTAGGGATATGGTTTAGGGGGTAGACAGGAGCGGTTGGACGTGATGATCTCAGAGGGCTTTTCCTATTGAGCAATTCTGTGATTTTGTGTGATCTTCTGATTACATGCTAGCAGTTTACCAGCAAAAAAGAAACAGGTTACACTTAGAACAATGGAGCTGGCCCAGCAGCTATGTAAGTGCCTTTAATGCCACCATGAGGAAGAAAAAAAAGGCACTTTATTATTATACTTTAAAATTTTCATCAGGGATCTCAATGGCAGCGTGCAGAATGGTAATGCAAATCACTCTGAAGCACTTTATAGCGGAGGTCGTAGAGTCACCACCCTGAAGCAAACCTGACAGAACTAAGCTGTGAGTCTTCAGGAAAACCTCGCATTGGCACAGAAACCTCCTGCCCCCTCAGAAAAAGAACAAAATCCAAAGCCAACAAAAAATCGCTCCAGTTCCAATTCCACAGGCGTAGCAGATGTAGTATGTACTGTGAGGAACCACCAACTTTGGAGCAATTCCTTGGCCAGACTTTGGCTAACCTAGAAAACAGCAGTGCCCAGGCAGCAAAACCCCACACAGAAGCAACCAAGTAAAAAAGTGGAGTTAATTGCTCTTCAAGATGTGAAGCACTGGATCCTTCACTTCAGACACAGATTCCAAGAATTTAGCATCAAATGCTTACGAAACATGGTGAACATTAAAATTGTAACTTCCATTTCATTGTTTAGTATACAAATCTTGATTTAAACTATTGGATCCATTTGGTTCTGATGGCAAACACATCACATTTCACTAGGAGTAATTAAAGACGGGGTCGTTCAGATCTGTGCCCTTCCTGACCATAGCACCTTGCCTAATTATGGTATTAAACACTAGCAAGAGTCTAAAGCCCCATCCCTGGACACAACCAGCAGCCAAAACATGAGCATCCTCCTGGGCTGAGACAAGTTGGCTTTGCTGTACAAAGACGACAGAAGCTTCGCTCTTCTCTTTTTTAAGATTCAAAATGCACACACAGAAACGCAGCTGCTTAAAAAGCCAGAACAGAGCACAACCTCCATTTGTTTCTGCTTGGAAATGAGTTTGGGCAACGCTGGCTCTAGAGTACGGGAAACAATAAATATGGAGTAATAACCCGCTGTTATCAAGCATGACACTGCACATTGAGAAACCTTGAAAAGCTCTACGTCAAGAAGCAAGAACTTTTAAATAAGCGTTCCTCTGGCAGCGTGTTCTTACCAAATGATTGCCACGGGTCAGAGGCAGTAGCTGCAACTGTGGATCCTCCCCAGGGATCGGTTTGGTTTGCAACAGCAGGAGGTCCCCAAGGCTCCGTTTTCGGTGGGGCCGGTGCCGAAGAGGGCAGGGCATCCATTAGGTCCAACAGAGTGGTATGCTGAGGGCAGGAATAAGCTGAGCTTTAATCAAGAGCATGACCAAGCTGAAGCACAAACCCGTGAGAGTGAAGAAGCAATTATTATTATTATTCTTTTTTCCTTTTACACACCTGCATTGACTAGTAGTTTGAAATTTAACCCACACGGAAGAAGCTTTAAGCTACACAACAAAGCAATCCCAAAAGCATAAAAGAGCTCAGTATTAAGCTATTTTGTGTTACTGTATTTCAGCTTTTGGCAGCGTAACCGGGAATTTCTTAGTCGAAGGCACTACCTCCTTCTTTTTGGGAATTTTAATTGTGTCTCTGCGACTCTCCTCCAGAGCCATCTGTAATCTCAGATCATCTCCGCGTCTGAGGCGCTCCTCCTGCAAAGGAAATCAACACTGGTGATATAGACCATGAGCCTAGACTGCGCTGCTCGCTCCCTGCAGCCGCCAGCCCCCTCGGCCTGGCCACCACTCCCTGCCACCCCGGCAGGGACGCACTGGGGGACTGTCACGGTTATTTGCTTTAACTTGTACATAACACAAGGCGGGGGATTTTCTTGTGATTCTCACCTCGATTCAACAGAGGTCAGGAGCACCCCGACCCTGTAACACCAGCGTAACAGTGTGACCATAACAACATCCATTTTGCTGGCTGAAATTCCCCCTCGGGTTGTTTTACTCCTAATGGGAAAGCTACAAATGAAATGGTCTTTCCAGAATTCCATTACAATGCTAGAAACACCACAGAACTGAAAGACAAAGCAAATAACCCATCTCTACATTAAGGTTATGTTTCTGAGCATCCAAATCACCACCGAAGGACGCAGTGATTTACACTTTACTTCTCCTGGCTTTTGTCGCCTTCCCTGATGCAACTGTTGCACAGGACACCAAGTGAACTAATCCAGCCAGCTCCATGCATGTTATGCAGGGTTTTAACATCTGTGAACTACCACGTTTGTGGTACATTCGACTACTTTAAATATCTTTGCTTGCCTCACGTCTTTCAGAAGCTGACTAATTCCCCAGCTGGTATTTCCCTTGCCATTTTTAAGGCTATTTCAACTGATAGATCCCGATTTTTATTTTCTTTAGCTTTATTGCTCAATAACAACAAAGTTTACGGGGCAATAGTTTCCCTTGCCAGGCACAGAGATACTAAAGCCTAACATACAGCAGTAAGCTAAACTTGCCACGGGAAGCCTCTAAAATATTAGAGTTACTCAGCAGGTCGACTTGAATTTTCACCCACAGCTCAGATTCAACGAGCCTCTTACATATTAACATGCAGTAAACTTTCTCCACAACGACAGCATTTACTCAAAATTCAGAAAGTACCTTCTAAGAATTACCACAGTTACATTACCCGTGTGGTAGATTAGGAGCCAAGCCATTTTAACCCAGGTTCTTTATAAATCTTAGTACTTTGTGTACCCTTCTGTTCCAGACAATCTCACCGAATGAGCAGATCCATTCAAAATGTCACTGCAATCAGAATTCAGACATTTCTTATGCTGGCCCCATTAATGAAGTTTCCAGGACTTCCTAAAACTGAAAACATCTTCAGTAATGTGATGATTAACATCCTCCCACACAAAGTCTTCTTGCAAAGTGAGTGTCATCTTCCACTAGTCTCAACAGCTCGGAGGCTGCAATTACTTTAAAAAGAGATTTCCGAAAAGTATATTAAAAAAATTCAATAGAAGAGCAACATCTTCCAAAAACGGCCTTTCTCTCCCCCTATTCCACCTGGAGCAAAGCCAAGCTGCCATTGAGGAAAAAAAAAAACCAAACAAGCAACAAACCAACAAACAGGATTGTGGGCTCAACTATAAAGAAGAAGAAAACCTACACGGGCACTGACCTGCTCCGCCACTTCCCGGCTCATCGCCAGCGCCAGCTGCAGTTGGAGCTCTTCCTCCCCGCTTGTCTGAGGCCGGGCCTGCTCGAGCTCTGAGGAGACTCGAGGGGATGTAGCTGTTGGGAGACAAAAAAAACCCAGCACATTTAGCACCAGTAACAAAAAGACAGAAGGGGTTTGATGATTCCTCCGAGCAGATCGCTGCGCTTTCACACAGCCATTCTCAAAGGGGGCCGCCAACTCATGACCACCATCAGCTCCCTGAACCAGCAGAGATAAAGCTCCTGCCAAGGCCGAGGTTAAAAATGCAGAACAGGGAGAACTTTGCAAGGCAGTTCAGTTGTTGTAAAGGGAAAATATTCCTGGAAAACAAAGGCTTTTTGTGTTAGCAGGGTTGTTGTATCAAGAATTATCACTAACGAATGCTGGATACCCTGTCTGAGGGTATCAGAGCTGCAGGGGGCAGGACACTGAGTTTAAAACTACAGAATTAATCATTCAAGCAAACATTTGTTGGTATCAGTAAGAATTCGCTGGGAGTTGGCCAATGCCAGGGTAAAACTGGATACCACCCACTTTTCTGTAAAATAATACAGTCTTAAATGGGACAGATAAAGAACTATTCTGAACGGCTCGGCAGGCTCTGAGACAAACAAGCCAGCTATTCATGCTCCAAATTTACAAAATACTGTATCGTGCTCTGCTAAATAAAAAGTTTGGTACATAGCTTGGGGGGGCTGTTTGGTTTTTGTTCTTGGTTGATCTTTCTTTGGATGAAGACCTCTGTCAGCTCGCTGGTAATCTCCCTCGTTTCTCAAATAGCAGTCAAGCTTGACAGCTAAAATACACAATTTCTCATTGCAAACATCTTCTTTTATTGACATTTCCACTACAATAGCACGCAGAAATTCCCATCCCAATGGGACAGCACTAGTAGGTTCAGCATTAGGCATTAATTAAAGAATTTTTGTGCTTGCTCTCTCTCTCAGATGATTCTCTAGCATCCAAATCGTTTACACAGAAATCTTATCTTACTTTGGCGAGAAAGTTTGTGTTTAATGCTTGGAATGATAATTAGCTTGGCAAAACACACACTGACATTTAATAAAGAGGAACCGTATTTTTAAACTAGCATGGGAAGCTCAAAGAAATCGAGTTCCTCCTTCACAGGTCAACTGGGTACGTAAAAACCAGACTGTCAAACTGTAATTTTAAAAAACACTTCTTCAGTCCCTACTTTAATCCTCTAAATATTTCCCAGTCTTGTCTCCCCTAAGTTTTCGGCCAAAATGACATGACAAATTACAAAGTGCAACCTCCTCTCTCTGCAGCAGGCCAGAAGGAAGGTGACTGTCGATGGCCTTTCCTGTCCACCGCACACCCCTTGGGCCATCCCATCCCATCCCAACCCATCCCCATTTCCAAAGGGACACATTCATTCAGCACCCAGAATGGTTCTTCCACATTGTGCTGATCCTGAAGCTTTCAAGCCAGCCAGACGAGCTCCTTACTTCACACTTTAAAAGATTTTAATGAAATAGAACAAGGGAAAGTGCAGA